TGCAACCCAATTTACCAATATAGGCAATAAACCAGTTTACAAGAATAGCAACACAGCAGTTATAGGCCAAAACAAATAGTAACATATTTAACCAAAATAAGAGCAGTAACAAGTTAAGCAATTCACAAACTAGTAGAAAAGCAAACAATAGTAGTAACACACATCACTTATTTAAGATCCATACATGTACCCACCCATCCCATCCTCTAGTAGTAACTTGCAAATTATCAATAATATACTACCGCTTAGCTGAATTAGAAATTATTACAAGGTAGAAAGAGAACAAATAATACGGAGTATGTTACATTATTGAGAATCTTTAAATAAATAGATACTTAGATCCAGGCATAGCACCTAAAGCCAGTATTCTGAGATGTACATCAACTAAAACATAAATAAAAGCAATAACAAGTTTGTTTGTCAGAATACATACTTTCAAGCTAAATATAAGAGGTTAGTCAGAATACATCCTTACAAGCTTCCATAACAGAAATTTATAGCTTTACAAGTTACAAAAAACAATTTTAGAAACATAAAGGTACAAATTTCATGTTCCCATTAAACCTATACCATAGAAAGTATCATGTGCCCATAATTCATTTAAATAATTAAAGAAGTTTGGTTCACATAATTCAAGCCAAATAAAATAATACAAAAATGGAAGTTCAAGAAAAATTAAAAACCATGAAACCATGACTTTTGGTTCATAGAGTGCATAAATTTAAAAAAAAACCAAAACATATTTGTTACAAACTTGTTTCAAAATCGAATCGGACTAAAAAAATATGGTCTAACATAATTTGAATAATTAAAGTAGTTTCATTCACATCATTGAAGCAAATTAAAACATTCAAAAAGTGGAAATTCTATAAAATATTAAAAACCTGAAAATCAGAGGTGGGGGATCGGAGACTAGGATGGCGAAGGCGGCGGAGGCTGGGACGACAAAGAAATCCGGAATGGTGAAGGGATGGCGGTCATTTCAATTCGCAGGTCGCCAATGACGGCGAGGAGAAGGGGAGAGGCGCTGGCCAATTGGATCTGTAACGGAGGTAGATGACGACGACGACGATGATTGGAGGCGGCGATGGTGCGGTGAAGATAGCGACTAGATGGCGCCCAACCATCTGTAACCCTAGCCTCATCCTGATTCTTTTCATCATTTTGTTACCCCGATGCTGTTATAAACGAAATATTGATAGGTTTTTTAATTTAACTTTTTTTGTTCTATACTTATTAGTGGGGATAGTTCCGCCGCTATTTTATTTCTTATTAGTGGGAGAAAAGTCCGCCACTAATTTAATTCTAATTTTAAAATAAATTTAAATTTCTTTTGTATCGCCCTTTTAAATTTTAAATTATTCCCCTAGTTATGATCGTTAAATTTATTTCAATTAGCTGCGATACTAGTGGCGGAAAAAGCTGCCACTAAATAAAATTTTCAAATAGAGGGTAAGTAGTCCCCCTATATTCTGCCTCTATCTAGAGGCGAAAAAATCCCCCTTTAGATGTTTGCAGCTAATACGCGAAATTCTAGTAGTGTCATTGGTGTCTTGTGCTTAGTACCTTTTGATGTTGTGTCTCAAGAGAGCCTTGTGACACAACATCAGGTTATACCCTCCATGCAATAACCTGTTGAATATGGAGTTTCTTGTTCATCCAATGGCTCTGGGTTAAAGCTAAAGATAAAGAACATATTGAATCTTGAAAAGAAGAACCCAACTCCTTAGCAAATGATCTTTAGGAAACAAACCACCAGAATCTGTAACAGAAAAGCTTATATCAGATGAACACAACAACTTAAATGATGATGAAAATGAAATCGGATTTGAACGTTATTTCTATATAAGCTGAATGCTTGATAATTTATTAATTACATGACATGAAGTATTTATAAAGAAAATACATTGAGAGGATAAGCAAGGATTTCTACTAGTGATCATAGAAACAAGGGATAAACTAATAAATATTACCTAAACTAAACAAACGGGTATGCAACTCGGCGAGCCCCTTATTGCATGACCCGGGGCGCTACCGTCGTATTGTCGGGCGTTTGATATATTTGACTATCACGCGTCCCGACTTGGCTTACTCTATTCATGTATTGTCTCAGTTTATGCAGGCCCCCAGGGTCGATCATCTCGCAGCGGCCATGCGCGTATTGCGCTACCTCAAAGGACATCCGGGTCAGGGAATTTTTCTTCGCCGTGACAGCACACTCCAGATCACGGCCTATTGTGATTCCGACTGGGCCAGTTGCCCCCTCACTCGACAGTCGGTTAGCGGGTATTTCGTCATGCTTGGTGGATCCCTAGTTTCTTGGAAAACCAAGAAACAAACAATGGTGTCTTGGTCTTCTACAGAAGCTGAATATCACGCTATGGCCAACGCATGCGCTGAGATCCGATGGATCAGGCACGTTCTTCAGGCTCTCGGCATGCCCATTTTGCATCCTCCTCGCCTGTTTTGCGATAATCAGTCCGCGTTGATTATTGCTGCGAATCCTGTTTTTCATGAGCGGATGAAACACATAGATATTGATTGCCATATTGTACAAGAGTGTGTTCAGCGTGGAGAAGTATCTACGCGTTATCTACCAACGCGTCTCCAGGTAGCAGATCTTTTCACCAAGCCGTTGTCTAAACCCACGTTCCAGTTCTTGCAGTCCAAGTTGGGCATTCATGATCTTCATGTGCCAACTTGAGGGGGAGTGTTAGCGGGTCATGTATTGTTTGGTTTATATTGTACTTATTATGTGATTGGGCTTGGCCCGTTGTACTTGTCTATATAAACACTTGTTGATTAATGAGAAACCAAGGCATTTGTACACAAAATTTTACAATATACGAGAACACCGCCCTTTTATTTGTGCCTATAAAAGATGACAGACACAAGTACTTCCAAAAGTCCTCTGATTTGGAAACCCCAAGTGACTCTACAATAAGGGTACGTACAGTGGTCTAAGTATTCATGCTAAAACATATGCTTGATTTATTAAAATTAACCGCTTGACCCAAAAGACTCTCATATACGATATATTTGAAGACACTGCCGAAATCGCATCATATTTGTTTTAAAAAGTACACCCTTCATCCCATAAAACTTTTCTCCTTTTTTTCATCTGCCCTATAAAACTTTTTTCATTTCTATTATAAAAAAATCACTTTTACCCCTACTAATTCTTAACTTACCTATCACAGCACATTTTTTCACTAATTGTAATACCCCGTATTAAGATGGGAATGTGAAGAGCTCAAAAAGATTGATAGTACTACTCATATCAACAAGGTGCATCTTCTTTTCGAGAACTCATCACCTAAAAAACTCCAAATTTAAGCGTGCTTGACTTGGAGCAATTTTAGGATGGGTGACCCCCTGGGGACTTTTCCTTGGGCGCGCATGAGTGAGGACAAAGTGCGTGGGAAAGACTTGTGTTGGTTTGTGGGGCCAGTCTACAATCCTATGAGCAGACACTTACGGCTAGGGTGTTACACTAATAATCTACTCATCACATCTATTTTTACCTATTACATATATCTAGAGCTGGCAAATCGGTCGGTCAAGTCGGGTTCGGGTTCGGTCACTTCAAGTTCGGGTTATTTCAGGTTCGGGTCAATTCGGGTTCGGGTTGAGAACTGTATGTTCATGACCCAGTGTCATCGGGTTCAGGTCGACCCAACGGGTTATGACTTTGGTTTTTTAAATTTTTAAATTCACTTTAACACTTACATTTTCTATTAAATAAATTTAAAATATCAAAAAAAAGTATTAAATCTATAAATTTATTTTATTTTAAACTCTAAAGTAGTTTTTAGATATATAAATCAGTATAAGGAATTTAAAAATGCTTAAGTTTTGGAAAAAAGTAAGATAATTATGCAATATCATTAAAGTTTTGTCTGAAAATATAAATTTATACACTAAAAACGAGTAAAAAAGTGTATAATTTTGAAAAATTCTTACTTTAGCTGGTCGGTCAGGTCGGGTTCGGTTTTGGTCAGGTTTGACCCATTTTTAGCGGGTCATTTCGGGTTCGGTCAACTTCGGGTTCGGTCATCAAAACTTTTGTTCAAAACCCAGTGTTTTCAGGTCGGGTTTCGAGTCAAAAACAGGTCGGGTCACTTTTTGCCAGGTCTATATATCTAAAGGAATTTTCGAAAATCAATATCAAAATACACTCCTCTTAAATCCCTTAAAAATTAAAACAAGAAGTATCTTGTAGGACGGAGGGAGTAGCAAATTATCATCCGTAAATAATAAATGAGAAATTCTGGTAGCTCCCCTGCCACCCTACAACCGCTTATCTAAAAGTTTTCTCCAAATTTCTAGGAGAATATTTTTCTAATCAAACGGACCCTTAAAATTTTCCACTCTTGTTTCGCTTTTTTGAAGTACTAGTATTTTGACCCGTGCGATGCACGGGTCGAACGAAACTGTTGTCGATTTTGAAATTTTTCAATGAAATATTTATTCCAGAATCAAGTAAATATATTTCTGTCACAAATTTTAATCAATGGAAAACAACGACAAAGTAGAATATAATATTTGAGAAATTGAAAGTGTACTCGAAAAAATCTTTTTTAATTCCAAATTTTTTGAAAGACTTTAGTGTACACAACATTTTTTGTATCGTTGTAAGCGTTTTTATTTTCATCTAGAACCAATATTTTTAATCATGTCTTTTTCTTTACTCGTGAAACAGTAACATAAAGCTAACCATGAGTAAATCCCGAATTGGTTAAAAATAATATAACAAAGGACAATGTTTGACATTGACTTTTGT